GAAATAGAATTTGCCCAGCAGAAACACAGGCTTTTGTTTTAAGCCCTGTGTGTAGAGCCCATACTAGGAGCTTAGGTAGAAAACCTGAGCCCCACCCAGTACTGCTGAGGGAAGGGAAGATTTGTATTTGAAGAGAGGACCTGAAGAAGAAAAAAAATGACTGTTTGGCTTTTTGAATTTCAAGCAAGCAGATAGGCTTTGGGTCCATCAAGGCAGGAAAGTCATGGTCCATGAGAGAAACCCCTTCCAGGACTGAAAGTTAAAGGAAGTCAGTGAGTGGTAGACTTGTATGTTACTTGCTTGTGACTACCTGGATCCACCTGAGTGGAAATGGGGGAAGTGCAGCAAAGAAGAAACAGGTTGAGTTTGGTACTCTTTGACCTAGGCCCAGAGGCTGGGGATGAGAGGAAGGGCTGGCTGGTCTGAAGTGCAGTGAATTGTGAGCCTATGGGCATTGAAATAAGTCCGTGAGGACTGAAGATGTGAGAGAAGGTGCTGGCTGGTCTGAAGTGAAGGGAAGAGTGTGATTCCCAAACTTGGCAGCTGGTACCCATGACCTAGCTGGGATGGCTAGGGCTGAGCTGACCAGAACCCGACCAAACGAAGAGGAAGATGATTGACACAGCTGGTGTTAAGTTGCTGCAATTTGATGGCTTGAGCTGGGATGGACTTTGCTTGTTTATGGATCCAGATGCCTGAAGTTTCCAAGAACAGAAGATTCTCCAGAGAGAAAGGACCATGCTTATCTCCTCAGAGTACTGGTTTGATAGGGATGGGCAAATTAGAAATTGGCTATTTAAAATGGGGAGAGATAAAGGCATAAAGTGGCTGGCTTACACACTTTCATGGGTGTGGTTATTCTTAACCTGATGGTGAAGGGGATGTGAATTTTTGAAGCATAAAAGGGATAATGGCTAGAAAAGCCAGGGGGTGGCCTGCAGTGTAGTAGTAAATTACTTTGTGTGGCTTTTCTACCCATAAGTCTTTGTAAACTCCAAGGTGGGATTTTCTATGAGCAACTGAGGAGCTCCTGATTGCTGAAGGTGTCCACCTGGAGTATTTCTGTTGGGAGTGGCACAATACAATGTTCTGGAAGGTGCCCACTCTCTCTCAGGTGCTTAGAGTTCTGATAATATAATTGGCTAGTTTGACCACCCTGCTGGGCTCAAAAGGAGGCCTCCTAGAGACAGAGCTCTCTCTGACTGCTGGTTGAGGAAGATGTGCTGCTGAAAGAGACATGCACCCCAGAAAGAGACACGTGCTGCTGGGAAAGAGGCGCAAGAGACACGCATCGCTGAGTGAGACACTGAGGGACAAGCACTGCTGGGAAAGAGACTGTGAGAGACTGTTGGCTGAGGGACAGTGGGCTGGGAGAGAGACTGAGTGTTTTTCCTGAGCTTGAATTGTAGCCTGCTGCTTCCCTTCTAAACTCCATAATCTGTGAGTTCTGTGTGGCCACTGCAGCGAATTATCGAACCCAGGAGAGAGGTGGTGGTGCTTTGGGAGGAATGGTTGGTGAAAGGGCTGGAGGGAGGCAGCATGTCTGGCCTTGTAGGAATAGGCCTTGGGTTACTGCTGGTAATCCTGCCTTCCTCTTATGGGATTAGAGGAGGTCAGAACATGTGGCCTCCTCGCCGTTTTTACACTGTTCAAACCCACCTGCTTGCACAGAGCCCCGGGGTCAGCCAGAGGTGAAAGGTTAGGGCCTTGGTAGTCTTTCCTAGCCTTGCACATTCACATGGCCTTCTAGATTCCCAGAAATATTGTGGGAGCTCCTCGGATGGAAGATTGAGCAATCTCCTTCTGTAGTGATACCACCTTGGAAACCCAAGGAGGGGTCGCTGTGAGTCAGATCCGACTCGATGGCAGTGAGTTTTTTTGTTTGTTTGTTTTTTGTTTTTAATAGGCTGTTGTGTTTTAGGACTACTACTGAGTTAGAGTAGGGATCAGAATTAGAATAGGACAAAGTTCACTGTTATTTCCTAGAGTCAGCCATTTTTCTTGAATAAATATTCCTAGATTGCTGTAAGCCTTTGGTTAATTTCTAAAGTTGTGAAAAAGTTGTTTCTTACAATTTTTGCCAGTTTTCTTGTTGCTCTTATGAGGGAGAGGTTTTGGAAGTCCTTACTCTGCTATTTTCATTGATGTTATTCTGCCATAGCTTTTTTGGGGGGTGGGGTGGGGTGGTAAAATACCTGTGTATAACAAAAATTTTGCCATTTTAGCCGATTTTAGGTTTACAATTCAGTCATATTAATTACATTCACTGTGTTGTGCTACCATCACTGCTAATTTCAAAATTTTTTATCACCCCAAACAGAAACTCTGCAACCCTTTCAAAAGTAACTCCCATTCTCTCTTCCTCTGGCCCCTCGTAACTACTAATCAGCTGCCATAGCATTTTTAAGGGAATAAATAGTTAATAACAGTAGCTTATCTTTTGAATGTACTGTTTAAGTGCTTAATATATTTATATAAATATTTATATGTTTATATATATGTGTGTGTATATATTATGTATATATATTATATATATATGTAATATATATGTATATGTATGTATGAGGCTCTGGTGGCATAGTGCGAAGGCATTTGACTGCTAACCAGAAGGTTGACAATTCAAACCCACCAGCCACTCCTTGGAAGAAAGATTGGGCAGTCTACTTCCATGGTGATAACTGCCTCAGAAACCCAAGGGAAGGGTTGTTATGAGTGGGATCCAACTTGATGGCAGTGAGTTTGTTTTTTTGTTGTTTTATATGTATATATTTGTATATATAATTTGTGAATAATAAATGAAGGTTAGTGGTTCAAACCTATCAGCCTTTCCACAGAAGGAAGATGGGGCAGTGTACTTCTGTAAAGATTTACTACCTTGGAAACCTAGTGGGGGTCGCTATGAGTCAGAATCAACTCAGTGACAGTGGGTTTGGGTTTTTTTGGTAAATGTAATTTATGGTAATTTCAGAAGACATTTTCTGCTTCCTTTTAAAAATTTTTTAAATTTAAGCAATCCATGACAAGGATTTTCTTGTTTTACAAAAATACTTCTTAATTTTTGAGGGTGAGGGGTGGCTATAACCTGCTTTAAAAAATAATTTTTTTGCAAACAGAATTTATTATTGACCTTGCCAAAGTCAGTGCTTATTTAGTCTTTTAAAATTACTTTTAGGGAACACCTGGCACTTACTTGACCTCTCATAACCAGGCTTCCTATACTCAAGAAACAGCTAAGCCTTCAGTGGGATCTATATCTCTTGGGCTGCCACGGCAACAGGAATCTGCCAAATCAGGTCAGTGAGTCAATATGGCTGTGTTTCTGCATTTGTAGCATCATAGTCAGTAATTCAGTGCTTGATATCTTCCTGTTTTTCATTCTTTGGTCCACAGCTTCTGTGCCCTATATCAAGCAAGAAGAATTTTCTCCCCGAAGCCAGAACTCACAACCAGAGGGTTTACTGGTCAGGGCTCAGCATGAAGGTGTGGTTAGAGGTAAATTATGCTGTTTGGCAAAAATATTAACTTTCATTTTTACATTCATTAAAATAACTCTTTAACATATTTTAATTATAGGTTTTCAGGATATAGTCTTTAAATTCTAAATTTATGTCTTCTTTCCATATGAAAATGCTTTAAAAATTTTTAAGTTCCACATTTCTGTAGTCTTTTTGTAATGATTGCAGTGTTGTTTTAGAAGTGTATTTCAATAAAACAAAAGTAATTCTTTATGTGCTACTGTTTCCTTTTCTTCTTACCTCTCCCCCAAGTAGGGCATTGTTTTTTTTTGGGGGGGGTGCAGAGTGGAGAGTATAATTTACTAATGAATTTGTTTTTATTGAGGTACCACTGGAGCTATCCAAGAGGGAAGTATAACTCGAGGAACCCCAACCAGCAAAATCTCAGTGGAAAGCATCCCCTCCCTGCGGGGCTCCATCACTCAGGTTAGTGGTGGTCATTTCACACACACTGAACACAAACTAATGAGAAAACTAATGATAAAGCCTCTAAAGCTTTGGCTGTTCCAACAATACAGTTTTATTACTAATTCTGAGTTATGCGACTGGTTCTCAGTGATAATAAGCCAGACCTATAAACCTAAGACAGAAAGACATAAATGTGATCATTTTGACCACAAGCTGTATTTATACTGTGGTTTGTTTGAAAAGGTCGCTTATGTACAAATTGGCAGAAAACTCAAGTTCTAATTGATCCAGGTCTCACTGTGTTAAGACAAAGCTTTTACTATATGTTCAGCTGAAATATTGAGAAGAAAATTATTATAAATTATTTGCTTGCTTTTGTGCCTTTTGAGGAGAAAGGTCTGTAATCTCAGTGTAAAACTGCCTTGCTAGAATCTAATGCTAAACTAGGAAATAGGATAATGTTGACAAATGCACAAAAACCAATTATCTTCTTCCAGTTTGGGGCTAAGTAGATAACCAATTTTAATAAAGTATCTGTCTTTTTCTCAGATGTTAATTTAAGCTTGAAATGTAAAACAGTCCTCACCTTCTATTTATATATACCCAGAAAAGTAAAAGGTCATCATAACCAGAGTCCCACGCATTTGCACGTTGTGCCTGTCACACGTTTCTGTTCTATTCATATTCCTTGTCTTCATATTCCTGAAGACAGTGATGCTCTAAGTATGGTTCCCCAAGAACACCAGCATTACTAACACTTGAAAGTTGCTAAAAAAATATAAATTCTCAGACCCCACCCCAGAACTACAAAATCCACACTCCTCATCGTGGTAGGGGGGCAGCAGTCTGCATTTTCCCAAGCCCTCTGGGTGATTTGGCTCAATGTTTGTTTGAGAACCCTTGCTCTAGGACCTTGCTGAGCTTGTTAGAATAATGCAGAAATTTCACTTCCCACTTGAGATCTATTGTTTTATAGTCTGAATAAGATTCTCAGGTGATTTTTCTCTCAGACATGGATTATATTGCATTATATATGGCATGTACTAATCTAGAAAGTTATATACTAACCCTTTAAATCTGTTTCTACGTTTGACCAAAGTTTACTTTCCACTGAATCAGTTTTCAGAGAAAGCTAATACTTTAATATGGACAGAAGGAAAATAATTGCATTATGCGTTACTGCTTGTTAGTGTTCCTTGCATATGGAAGATAGTATGAATTGGGTCAAATGAGGGTGGATTTTATCTACTTACTTTTAAATCCATTTGTCCATAAGACATAAGCACTTTTGAAGTGGGTGTTAATGAATTCCCACATGTATCAGCAAGTTAGTTTAATGAGACAAGACTAGTAAATGTATTGCTTTCATCTCTTCCTGTTGTAAGCATGTGGTTTCAGAGTGTGCTCCCTAGAGTTTAAGGGGTCCTAACAGTGTACTGGGGATACCAAATGGCTGAATGGGCCCACATCTAGCCCTTCAACTTCCATTTCAACTCAAGCAGCTCACTTTTACAAACTCTTCTACATTTTTAGGCTCCATGAGGGTTCCTTTGAAGGACTCACTGATTAGAAGAAGGGTGAAAAGAACCATAGTCCCTAGCAACGAAAAGAGGACTAGTGATAGTGAAAATCAGATGACATAATCTTAATCAGTATCACAGAACAGAGGCATCCTTAGTTTCTCTTTCTCTCCTCTTATTGATGAACAAAGGTGTAACAAAGTATACATTTTAAGTAATTGAAATTTCTTTCTCCTCTCATCACAATATGAGAGAATGTTGTGGTACTATAAATTTAAAGTTTAATATACCAAATCTTATTTTTATTTGAAACTTTGTGAATGCTGTATTATATTTGCATGATTTTAAGCCTGGCAAAAGTTCTTTTCTGAGTGTTAAGTGCCTTAAGAGGGGTTTCCCTTCAAAGGGAGACACAAAGCTGATTTAACTAACATATCTATCCTTATTTTAATAAGTTTTATGTGACAGAGTTGAAGAACAAAGGTATAGGAATTCTTTATGTTTTTAAAACTTAGTGTGTGATTTTCTTTTATGTGCTTAGGCTTTTCTTCTTTGCAATTATGGATTGAGCTGGTGGCTCTTGGTATGTTAGGTTAAATTCTTTAGTATCTTTTATTTTCTCTAAACTTAAGTGACTCTTCTGGTGCCTGTGTTTGATTTGATTTGATGGCAGGGCACCCCAGCTCTGTCCCAGGCTGGCATACCAACTGAGGCATTGGTGAAGGGATCCATTACTAGAATGTCAATTGAAGAGAGCAGTCCTGAGAAAGGCAGAGAGGAAGCTGCATCTAAAGGCCATGTTATTTATGAAGGCAAAAGTGGACACATCTTGTCATATGATAGTAAGTATTACATGTGTTTGCTCTCTAAAAACATAAGTTCTGATTCCCCCACTTTGAGGAAGTCAGTTTAGGTGCTCTGAGCCCAGGTTTCCTCTCTGTAAAATCAGATTCACATAGTGTATCTGATGCAAAATGCATGGTAGTTTTCTTATTCCCTTCTGCCCTGCTTGCTTTAATATTTCTAGCATATTTTAAATAGAATTTAAATTTAGCTCATAAAGCTTTAGTGAAAAATTAACTGAGATGGTCAGTGAACATTATCAATTCAGTGTGGAGCCCATATTAAGAACTGGTCAGTTGACTTAGCCTAGGAGGAGAATCTTTGTTGAACTTCAATAGAATTGCTTTTATTTTAAAGGGCTTTACGTTTTATGAGTTAAAAGTTAGGGCGTAGATAAAAATCTCATAATATTGAAAAGAATAGTGGATTTATATTTTCCTTAACTAAAACAATTTTAATATTTGTGTCTTTATCTATGTGAATAATCTAAACAGTTTTTTAGATGTATTCTTAATATTTTTCTGGTAACTTTTTTTTTTATAAGAATGACTTAGACATGGTATCAGTATTAACCAAGGGCCTGATGGGATGTGACTTCTTAATTGCAACTGACTATGATAAGGAGCTCGGTGGTGCAGTGATTAAAGTGATCAGCTGCTAATGGAAAGGTCGTTGGTTTGAACCCACCAACCACTCTGCAGGAGAAATATGTGCAATAAAGATTACAGCCTTGGAAACCCTATAGGACAGTTCTACTATGTCCTATAGGGTCACTATGAGTCACAATTGACTCGATGACAGTGGATTGGGTTAGGTTGTCTTTGTGAATTTAGAGTAGTTATTATCTATGCCTAATCTTTCCCCTCTAATATAAAGAAATAAACTATGTGAACACACAGTACCTAGTATAAAATGCATGGTTGTTTTCTTACTTCCTTCTGCCCTCTTTGTTATAACATTCCTAGTACATTTTGAAGAGAATTTTATATGTAAAATCAATATAGAAATCCAAGCTTCAATTTAGGCAAGCCAAGAAAAAACTAATGATTTACATATTGTTTCTGGAGGAAAATATTAATTATGTACATTGCCCAAGCTAGAAATCTGGATGTTATCTTGTACTTTTTCCCATTCCTACATCCAACCAATCACTAAGTCATTTTCCTTTCCTGAAGTCTCTGGAATCCACCTACTTCTCTGATTTTTCTCCTGCCACCATCATCTTTCATCGGAATAGCTTATTAGCTCTATTCTGGTTACCTAGTACCACTCTGACAAGAATATACCACAAATGGGATGGCTTGAACAAACAGGAGAACTATTTATTCTCTTAATATAGTTTGGAGGCTTTAAGTCTGAGTTCATAATGCCAGGCTGTAGGGGCTGGGTGAAAACTCCTCAACCTTGGGCTTCTGCTCTGCCTCCTGCTCCCAGCCTACTGAAGCTAGAGGCTTTTCTTCACTCAGACAGCTGCTGGCTGCTGAGGCTGACAAGCCCAAGGTTGACAAGTTAAAAGGCACAGTACCAATGTTACCAAACCACATGGCAGGCCATTAATTCAAGTCCATTCAAAGTCCCAAGGTTGGCAGAGCATGGCAGGCTGCTGAACAATGACACAGCTACGTGCAGGGTTCAACCATGCCATAAGCTAGAGACCGTTCTCCAAGGCTTCTTTTTATATACAGGAAGCAGACCACATCCCTAAAGCAGCTACTCAGGTGCTCGCAGTAGACTCCACCATGGAGTTGATTACCAGTCTCATCATGGGGAATACTACATCCAGCTGCCCAGCCATTCAACCAGGCCCAGCCAAGTTGACACACAAACCTAACTACCACAAGTTCCCTAACTGATCTCTTCACTTTCAGTTGTACTTATATTCAAAAGTATAAATCATACTGCTTTCCTGATTGACTTTCCATTGCCCTTTGGATAGCTGCACGCCTCTATACTGTGGCTTACACACTCCTACTCCTGGCCTATCTCTTCAGGTTATTCCCTTCTCACTCTTCTGTTAAGGCAATTCTGACTCTTAATGACCTCATGTTACAGAATAGTAACTGCCCCATAGGGTTTTCTGGACTCTAATTTTTATGGAAACATATAGTCAGGTCTTTGTCCTGTTCTCTCTTGGGGGGGTTTCAACCACCAACCTTTTAGTTATCAACCAACTGCTTAACTGTTGAGCTATCAGGGCTCCATCTCTTCCCCTTAGCCCATAACTTTACCTCACCCCTCACCTATTCCTCCCAACTTCATTCCATACATTCGCCATTTCCTGAACTTAAGTTCTTTTTAGTTCCATACTCTCTTTTGCATTATGTTCACTGTTCCCTCTGCCTGAACCACTTTTCCCTTTCTTTACCTTTGACTTACAAAACAACTCATATTTAGCCTCCAGGTTTAGGCAGTATTCTGAACCTTTAAATGTTAGGTTTTCCTTCTGCCATTCTCATAGCATGTTGTACGTTTCCTTTCATAATACTTATTGTGCTGTGTAAAAACCAAATTCACTGCCATTGAGTCAATTCCAACTCATATTGACCCCTTATGGTTTCCAAGTCAGTAAATCTTTATGGAAGTAGATTGCCAAGTCTTCCTTCTGTGGAGTGGCTGGTGGATTTGAATTGCCAACCTTCTGGTTAGTAGTCAGATGCCTTCGCACTGTGCCACCAGAGCTTCTTACTACACTGTATAGTAATTGCTTATTGATGTATGGAGGCATTCATCCTCCACTTCTGAGTAAATTCAGTAAATTTTAATTTGTTACTCTTATTTTCAAGGCCTAGCATATGCCTGATACTGATGCAGTTGTGGTAGTTAAGGTTATGTTTCACCTTGACTGTGTCTGGTTTTGAGTGGTTGAGCAGCTGGATGTAGTTATTAGTCCCCATGAGGAGACTGGTAATCACCTCCATGGTGGAATCTGCTTGAGCACCTGAGGAGCTGCCTTAGGGATGTGGTCTGCTTCCAGTATATAGCAAGCAGCTTTGAGAAAGGTCTCTGAGTTTTTTGACACATCTAGATCCTGCATTTGGCCGAGTCTTCATCTCAGTGGCCTGCCATGTTGCTTGATAATCTTGGGACTACACCATTTTAATTGTCGACATTGGTTTGTCAGCCTCAGCAGCCAGCAGCTGACTGAGTTAAGAGACACCTCTGGCTCCAGTAGGCCAGGAGCAAGTGGCATAGCTGAAGCCTAAGGTTGAGGTGCTGTCATCTGGCCCCAAGAGCTGGCACTTGGAGCTCGTATTTCTGCCCTCCTAAACTCTGGAAGCATAGTGCCTAAGGCACTTGACTGCTAACCAGAAGGCTGGTGGTTCAAACTCACCAGCCACTCCTCGGAAGGAAGATGGGGCAATCTACTTCCATAGTGATACTGCCTCGGAAACCCAAGGAGGGGTCGCTACAAGTGGGGTCCAACTCGATGGCACATAACAACAACAAACTATCAGAGAATAAACTCCTAATCAGATCCGACTCATAGCAACCCCTCCTTGGGTTTCTGAGGCGGTATCTCTACAGAAGTAGATTGCCCATTCTTCCTTGCAAGGAGTAGCTGGTGGGTTAGTCTTCTGACTAGCAGTCAAGTGCCTTAGGCACTCTGCCACCAGAGCTTCCTTCCTTTTATTTTAAACTATAAGGGAATAAAGTCCTATTTGTTAAAGTCATCCTCTTGTGGTATTTCCTGAGAGACACAAGAGAACCAAAACAGCACTCAATATATGTATTTGAATGAATGACAACATTTTTTATGAATATTATGTACATAGATGTATATTTTAGATTAAGACAAGTCTTTGTTATTATTTTTATAAAATTGTTGTTGTTGTTGTTGTTGTTTGCCGTCGAGTCGGCGCCGACTCATAGCGACCCCTCCTTGGGTTTCCGAGGCAGTATCACTATGGAAGTAGGATTGCCCAACCTTCCTTCCGAGGAGTGGCTGGTGGGTTTGAACCACCAGCCTTCTGGTGAGCAGTCAAGTGCCTTAGGCACTGTGCTACCAGAACTCCTATTAGACTATGAAATTAATACAACTTATTTACTGTACAGTGTTGGTCTTTGGCTCTGTTTGAGCACTTCTTGTTTCTACATTCTGCAGATGTTAAGAATGCTCGAGAAGGGACCAGAAGTCCAAGAACAGCTCATGAAATGAGTTTAAAGAGAAGCTATGAGTCTGTGGAAGGAAATATAAAACAAGGGATGTCTATGAGGGAGTCTCCTGTGTCAGCACCTTTAGAGGGTAAAATACTGTTTCTAGAACATTATTCAGTTAAATTTAATTTTGTATACTAAGTTGGCATTGTTGAATTAAGATGAATTAAACATTTATGGCATTTCTACCTGAAATTTACATAAATGTAACACACATAAATTTATATTTACATTAATGTATATTTATGTTTATATCTAAATATAAATCAAATGGTACATGACAGTGGTGGGAAGTAAAGATAAAATATAGTTTATATCAGAGGTAATTATTAGAATGCTCATGTTTAAAAACTCATATAACTTAGTAATTTATACCTATTCGAGTTAAATGAGTTTAAAACTGTAATAGAAAGAAATCTCACTTTCTATTATTTCTGGGTAAATGTATATAATGATTTCCAACCTTTGATTCAAAGTTATACATACGTAATATAAAACCACTTAAGAGGTTACTTGCAACACTTAATTTACATGTTCTATTTAATACATTTCTCCCTATTTTCATGCTTTCAATATTTCATGTTTTCCCTTTCTCACCACTGTATTTCAAATCTAAGTAGTGATTTTAGATCCCTCTTTCTTTCTCTTTAATAAACATTAGGATTTTAGATTTAGTGTTGAGTCTTTCGTTTTGCCCTATAATAGATACCTTTATAACTATTTTTTTTTAAGAAAACATCTAAAAAAAAGGATGTGTAATGTCATGTTGTGTACTTTTAACGTTTTTCCCATGATATTCTTCTGAATATTTTACAAATTTAAATTGACATGCCTTTCTCCACAGAGATTACATGAAAAAATATGTACTCTAGAAGAAGAGTTAGGAATGAGAGGAGAAAATGGAATGCTTGTGTTGTTGTCACTGAGGCTGGATAAACACCTGAAACTGTTGGCCTAAGATAATCTTTAAACCTTTGACCTTCAACCCAAACTATCCCCTAAAATTGTCTTTGAACCAAACAATAATTTAGTATGTTACTAAAGTATGTCTGCCTTTTTAGCATTGTGTTCTTTTAAAGAATTATTCATGTGAATGTAGTAACGAAAGTCACTAAATTATACAGGAAGTAATTGTTGAAAAGGTCTATCATTTATTATGTATATTTTCCCCAGAAAAATAAAAAAGAAAATTGCTAGAAGAAAATTAATTATATTAAAAATACATATATACTCTAAAGACACTGTTAAGTATATGAGAGTTGACAAAGACTTGCTATTTAATACTTGAATTGCTTTCTTATTTCAAAAGGGCTGATATGCCGAGCACTGCCCCGGGGAAGCCCTCATTCTGACCTCAAAGAAAGGACTGTGCTATCTGGTTCTATCATGCAAGGTAACCTTTTTGTTTATTTTGGCTTTTTATTCATAACTGCCTTACTTTATCACTTTGCATTATTTCTGGGTAAATGTATATAATATTTTCCAACCCTTGATTCAAATTTACACATACGTAATATAAAACCACTTAAGAGGTTATTTGCAACACTTGATTTACATGTTCTATTTAATATATTTCTCCCTATTTTTGTGCTTTCAGTATTTCATGTTTTCTGTTTCTCACCACTATATTTCAAATCTAAGTAGTGATTTTAGATCCCTCTTTCTTTATCTTTAATAAACATTGGGATCTTAGATGTTAGAGTAGTGTGGCATTAATTTGCAATGCATGAAGCCTGCTTTTCAAGACATTTTCTGTTTTAAAATTTTTATTGTGATTGAGGTGTAAGTGTACAGAGCAATTTCATCTTCCATACAACAGCTAACATACACTTTGCCTCATGACATTGACTGCAGTTTCCCACAGTGCAACAGCTTCTCTCTCACTTCCTCCTCACTGGTACCTCTTCCCTGCATCCTTTCCTCCATGCACTCCTGCCACTCGAGCTGTCTTTGTGTGCATACACAGCCCTTCTGTTCTACCATGTTTGATCTCTCCAGAGAGTGTATCTACCTAATAATGTAAATGTTCAGCTCATATGCCTGTCTTTTGTTTGGCTGGAAGCCACAGGAGTAGGTTCAGTTCCAGATGTGAAGGGCAGCTGGAGGCCATAGTCTCAGTGGTTCCATCAGGCTCTATCAGACCAGCAAACCTGGTCCTTTTTTTCTTTAATGATTTTGAATTTGGTTCCGCATTGTTCTCCCACTGTGGTAGTTAATGTTGTGTGTCAGCCTTGCTGGGCCTGGTTTAGTGGCTGGGGAGCTGATGGTAGTTATTCCCCATGGTGAGACTGGCAGTCAGCTCCATGGTGGGATCTGCCACAAGCAGCTGAATGGCTGCTTTAGAGATGCAGTCTTCTTCCCGTATATAAGCAGCAGCTTTGGGAACGGTCTCTAGCTTATGGCATGCCTAAACCCTGCATGTGGCCGAGTTGTTGTTTAGCAGCCTGCCATGCTCTGCCGACCTTGGGACTTTCAGTGGACTTGAATTAATGGCCTGCCGTGTGGTTTGGTAACATGGGGACTGTGCCTTTTTACTTGTCAGCGCCAGCAGCCAGCAGCTGTCTGCGTGAAGAAAAGCCTGTAGCTTCATTGGGCTGGGAGCAGGAGGCAGAGCTGAAGCCCAAGGTTGAAGGCCCCCAGCCCCTAGAGCCTGGCACTTTGAACTTGAATTCAGACTTAAAGTCTCCAAACTATAAGAGAGTAAACTTGTGTGTTAAAGCCATCCCATTTGTGGTATATTCTTGTCAGAGTGGTACAGAGGTAACCAAAACACCCATTCTATCTAGGATCTCCTACATAGTTCCCCCTCCTAGTTGTTGATAGTGGTAGCTGGGCACCATTTAGTTCTTCTGGTCTCATAGTTGTCGTATAGGCTGAGGATTGCATGGTGTACCATCCGCTTGGACTAATTGTTTCCACACATCATTGTTTTTCTTCATTCTTCTTTGCTCTGGTTGAGGAGAGACTCGTCATTGCATCTAGATGGCCACTTGCAAGCTTTTAATATCCCAGTCACCACTCCTGAAATTAGTATGTGGAACAGTGATTTTGTGCAGTATGTTATGCCAGTTGACCTTGATGTCCCCTGCAACTATGGTCTTGAGCCTACAGGTCCAACTACTCGCTTCCTCCTGGTAGCTGGCTGTGGCTAAGAAGTGACCACAGCCTTCTCCCTTGTCAGCTCTACTATATATGTGGAAATTCTTACAGAACATACAAATACACTTGTAGAAATATTGTCTGCCAACCCTGTACATGGTCATGGGCACACTCTCCCCTGCCTAGACATACCTAATAGTTTAGCCTGTCCACCTATCTATCCACCCGTATATCCATGTTTGCCTTTACTGACAACACAGTACTGTATGTGCAAAAGGATTCATCTTGGTTGTCTGTACCTCCCATCTATCTCTCTCTGTCTTCCTCTTCCTCGGTGCCACCATGTTGATGACTCACATTTGGTACATTGCCCTTCTCTTCACCCAAATCCATACTTACTCTACCTAACTGGCAGTGTTCCCTTCCTTCCACTCCCATACCTGGTAACCAACAAAGAAAGTGTCCTTCCATATATAAACCTTTCATTGACTTTTTACAATAATGGACTAATATAATATTTGTCCGTGATTGACTTACTTCACTCAATATAATGTCCTCCAAGCTCATCCACATTATGCTGTGTTTTGCTGATTTTATGTTATTCTTTAGGGTTGCATAGTATTTCATTGTGTGTAAGTACCCTTCCTTGGTTATCCATTCTTCTGTGGATGGCACTAGGTTGTTTCCATCTTTGTACTGTTGGAAATAGTGCTGCAGTGAACATGGGTGTGCATATACCTGTTCTTGTCTTGGCTCTCACTTCTTTAGGATGTGTACCTACTAATGGAATGGCTGGGTCAAATGGTATTTCTAATTCCAACTTTTTAAGGAATCTCCATACAGCTTTCCACAGTGGTTGTATCATGTGACAATCCCACCAGCAGAGTATGAGAGTTCTAATCTCTCCACATCCTCACCAGCATTTGTTATTTTCCGCCTTGTTGAACTCTGCAAGAGTGCTCGGACAAGATGGTATCTCATTGTTGTTTAGATTTGCATCTCTCTAATGGCTAATGATCATGAGCATTTCTTCATCTGTTTGTTGGCCTCCTGAATATCCACTTTGGTGAAGTGTCTATTCATGTCTTCTGTCCATTTTGGAATTGGATTATTTGTCTTTTTGTTGTTGAGGTGTTGGATTTTTCTATAAATTCTAGAGATAAGTCCCTTGTCAAATAAGTCATTGCCAAATATTTTTTCCCAATCTGTAGGTTCTCTTTTGACTCTTTTGGAGAAGTCTTTGGAAGCACATAAAAATTTAATTTTTAGAAGGTCCTAGTCATCTAGTTTATCTTCTGCTGTTTGTGCATTTTGGGTTACACTTGATAGTCTATTTATGTCATGTATTAGGGCCCCTAAATTGGCCGTAGTTTTTCCTTGAGAAACTTTATAGTTTTAAGTTTCACATATAAGTCTTTGATTCATCTGGAGTTATGGTGTGAGGTATTGATCTTGTTTCATTTTTCTGCAAATGGATTTCCAGTATTACCAGCACCATTTGTTAAACAGTCTCTTCCCCATTTAATGGATTTTGGATTTTGTCAAAGATCAACTGACCATAGGTTGATGGATCTATTTCTGAGTCTCATTTCTATTCCATTGGTCTCTGTGTCTGTCGTTGCACCAATAGGTGCACCAATAGGTTTTAAGATCTGGGAGTTTGAGACTTCTTGCATTGTTGTTCTTCTCTAATAATGCTTTGCTTATTCAAAATATCTTTCCTTTCCATATAAAGTTAGTGATTGGTTTTTCCATATCCTTAAGGAATGTTGATGGGATTGGAATTGCATTGAATATACAGATTAGTTTGTGTAGAATTAACATTTTCACAGTGTTCAATCTTCCTATCCACAAGCATGGGATGTTCTTCCATTTATGTAGATCTCTTAAGGTTTCTTGAAGTAGTCTTTTATAGCTTCCTTTGTACAGGTCTTTTGTGTCACTGGTACAATTTATTCCCAAGTATTTTATTTTTTTGGTAGCTATTATAAATGGTATTGATTTCCTTATTTCTTTTTCAGCAATCTCTTTGCTGGTGTAGAGGAATCCAACTGATTTTTGGATGTTGATCTTATATTCTGCCACGATGCTAAATCTCTCAATTAGTTCCAGTAGATTTTTGACTGAGTCTTTTGGGTTTTCTAGGTAGAGGATCATATCATCAGCAAATAGGGATCGTTTGACTTCTTCCTTATCAGTTTGGATGCCTTTGATTTCCCGTTCTTGCCTTATTACCCTGGCTAGGACTTCTGTACAGTGTTGAATAGAAGTGGTGATAGAGGGCATCCTTGTCTGGTTCTTGTTCGCATGGGGAATGGTTTCAGTCTCTCTCCATTGTGAATAATGTTGGCTTTTGGTTTTGCATAGATGCCCTTTATTATGTTGAGGAATGTCCCTTCTATTTCTGTTTTGCTGAGAGTTTTGATCAGGAATGGGTGTGGGATTTTATCAAATGCCTTTTCTGCATCGATTGATGTGATCATGTGATTCTTTTTCTTTGTTTTATTTATGTGGTGGATGACGTTGATTGTTTTTCTAATGTTGAACCATCCTTGCATACCTGATATGAATCCCACTTGGTCATAATGAATTATTTTTTTTGATACGTTGTTGGAGTCTATTGGCTATGATTTTGTTGAAGATTTTTACATCTATATTCATGAAGGATATTGGTCTGTAGTTTTCCTTTTGAGTGATGTGTTTGCCTGGTTTTGGTATCAGGATTATGCTTACTTCATAAAATGAATTTGGGAGGATTCCATCTTTTCTATGTTTTGGAATAGTTTGAGTAGGATTGGTGACTGTTCTCTGAACGTTCAGTAGAATTCTCCTGTCAAACTATCTTGGCCAGGACTTTGTTTTGTTGGTAATTTTTTTATGACCTGTTCAATTTCTCCTTTTGTATGGATCTCTTCAAATTTTCCACCTCAGTCTGTGTTAGTTTATGAAAGTAGTGTGTTTCAGGATATCTGTCCATTTCTTCCAGATTATCAAATTTGTTGGAGTACAGTTCTTCAAATGTGTCCTGATATTATCCTTTTTATTTCAGTTGGTTCTGTTGTGATGTTACCCATTTAGTTTCTTATTCATGTTATTTGTATTCTCTCTCTGTTTTCCTTTCTTACATTTGCCAGTAATTTGTCAGTTTTATTAATCTTTTCAAAAAAACAATTTCTGGTGGTGTTAATTTTTTTCCTGTCATCTTTCTATTTTCTGTTTCATTGATTTCTGCTCAAATCTTTATTTCCTTTCTTCTGGTGACCATAGGCTTTTATTGCTGTTCTTTTTCTAATTGTTGGAGATGCTGGTTTAAAGTTTTGATTTTGGCTCTTTTTCATTTTTTGATGTGTGCATTTACTGGTATAAATTGACCTATGATCACAGCTTTTGCTTTGTACCAGTGATTTTGGTATGATATGTATTCATTTTCATTTGATTCAAGGAGTTTTTTCATTTCATTTTTCATTTCTTCTGTTACCCAGTCATTCTTAACGAGGATGTTGTTCAGTTTCCATGTGTTTGCTGTTTTTCCCTTCATCATCTCATTGATCATTTCTAATGTTATAGCATTGTGATCTAAGAAGATGCTTTGCAGTATTTCAGTGTTCTTCTTAAAATATATGAAGGCTTGCTGTATGGCCTATCCTATGGTGTATCATGGAGAATGTTCCATGCATACTGCAAAAGAATGTATATTGTGCTGTTCTTGGGTGAAATGCTCTATAAATGTCTATGAGGTCAAGTTGGTGTATTGAATTCTTCAGCACTTCTGCATCTTTGTTGAGTTTCTTTCCTGTTGTCCTATCTTTGATTGAAAGTGGTGTGTTAAAGTCTTCTACTCTGTGGAGTCATCTATTTGCCTTTTCAATTCTGTTAAAGTCTGATTTTATATATTTTAGTCCTCTTTTATTAGGTTCATAGTTATTTTTTATGGTTATATCTCCTTGTTCAAATGATTATTTAATCATTATATAATGTCCTTCTTTGTCTCTTATGGTGGTTTTTGTCTTAAAGTCCATTTTATCAGAAATTAATATTGCCACTCCTGCTCTTTTTTGGTTGCCATTTCTTGATAGATGTTTTTCCAACATTTGATTTTTGGTCTATTTTTGTCTTTGCCTCTAAGGTGTTTCTCTTATAAACAGCATATTGATGAGTTATGTTCTCTTATCTAGTCTGCAACTCTCCATCTCAAGTGATTCATTTAATCCATTGACATTCAGCATAATTACTGATAAGTATGAATTGGTTGCTGTCATTTTGTTATGTGTTTTCTCATGGTGTTTCTGGTTTCTTTGTTTTATATAATTTTTTCTGCTGAGCTCATTATGTTTATGAATCATGTTATCATTTAGTTTGTTGGTATTGTTTTATTATTTGCTAAATGTTTGTACTTGTCGTCTTTTTTTATTGTGATATGAAGGTTTATAGTTTTTCTTTGAAGTTACTCTATTATTATTTTCTCCCCAAGTTTAGAACAGTCCATAGAATCTTGCAACTCTCTTGACTTCCTCACCGTTTAGAAGTTCTTTAAGTACACTATTTTTTCCCTCTTTTTGGTTTGTAGTTGTCCTCATTTGCCAATTGATGTCTCTAGTTCCCTATTTACAATCTTGTAAGCTTATTTTACTTTGGATACATCCATAGCTGTGTTAGTTTCTGGGTGATACCATCTTGTGTATTAATGGTCAGTTGTTGTTTGCTATTATTGGTTCTCTGTCAAAGGACTCCCTTTAGTCTCTCTTGTAAGGTTAGTCTGGTTTTAACCAATTCCCTTACTTTTCTCTTATCTGGAATTCTCCTAATTTTTCCATCATATTTGAAAGATAATTTTTCTTGGTATAAAGTTCTTGGTTGACAATTTTTCTCTTTCTGGTTTTTATATATACCATCCCATTGCCTTCTCACTTACATGATTTCTGCTGAGAAATCAGAGCTTATTCTTATTGGTTGTCCTTTGTAAGGAACTTTTCATTTTTCCTGTATGCTTTCAGGATTCTTTCTTTGTCTTTGGTTTTGATGAGTTTGATGATGATATGTCTTGGTGATTTTCTTTTGGGGTCTCTCCTGTCTGAGGTTCATTGGACTTCCTGAATGGATTTATTCTCATCTTTAATCATATCAGGGAAATTCTCTTCCAACCAATCTTGGACAATTTTCTCAGTCATTTTCTTTTTCTCTTCCTGTTCTAGAATTCTGATTACACGTAGATTATTCATTTTGATGGCATCCCACATGAACCTTAGGCTTTTCTTCATTTTGTTTTGATCTTTTTTTCTGCTTGATCCCTTTCCAAAGAAATATTGAGGTATTTGTCTTCAGTCTCATTAATTTTGTCTTCTGTTGATTCATTTCTACTCATTTGCCCTTTCAATGTGTTATCTATTTCTGACAATTTAGTATTAATCTTCTGGATTTCTATCTGTAGATTGTGAATCATTTGTAATTTTTCATTCATTTTATCATTTTGTTCTTGTATTTTCTTCTGAAATTTTTCTAGAGTTTTGTCTGTGTTTTCCTTAATTTTCTCAGTGTTTTCCTTGATCTGTCTCTTAATCCTTTGAAGATACCTAAATATAATTCTTTTGAATTCCTTATCCAGGGAGTTGCAATGCTATTTCTTCCTCAGGGATGTGTTCTGGGTCTTTATCCTGCTCATTTGTTTCTACCACTTTATCTTGCTTTTTTGTGTGGAATGTGTCTCTTGTCTCTGAAACATTATGACATTGTTCTATTTAGATTTCTGTTAACTGTTTGTGCAGAGCAGTTAAGGGTGAGTCAGGCTTTTCTTTGTGGTCGTTAGTCGTTGGCTAGTTGGTGGAAAAGGAAGTGGTTGCTCTAACTCAGTAAGTCTACCTGCAGGAGGTGCAATTGTGATTGCATCACATCGGCACAGTTACTATCTCTCACTCAGACAAAAAGAACGATTGATCAACCATCAAAAAAGTAAAAGCAAGCAGACAAAAAACACACCACATAAACACACAGGAACAATCATTAAAAAAAAAAAAGTCCACGCAGAGTCTGGTGAGGGGGCAAAAGAGAATGGAGGTAGAGTATGAGAATAATGAAGAAAATAATGGAAAAAAATGCTTAAAGAAAAAACAAGGAATGGGGAGAACCAGAAGAAAGAAGAAAAGGGGAACCAGGAACAGGGAAGAGATAAAAAGCTGAAAATTATAACTTGGGAAGGGAAGAACAAAGAATAATAAGTAGAATGAAATAATAATAATAATTTTAAAACAGAGAAGAACACATAAACTAGAAAATAAAAAAGAAAGAAAATCTGCACATGGCAGGGCACTGAAGCTCCATCTGAGCACATCGACGGGATGAATTCCTGTCAGTCCGGAAGGTGGGTGGGAGTGATGGATGGCTGCACCTCCATTCACCAAGAGGGTGTGGGGTATTAGAGTAATAGGGGGAATATCACACCTTTCCAGTCGCTTGTGTCTGGAATGTCCTTGCCGTCTCTGGCAAGTGGAGCCTTTTCTTAGGCCCGTGGAGTCTGAGAGAATGCTGTCACTTTAAACATCCAAAATAGTTGAACTACTTGGAAGCATTCAGAATGGCTGTATCCTGCATACAGCCTAAAATCCCCAGCTCAGCCTATCTTCCTCTTCCCCGTTTCCCCTTTTATTCACCAGCCACCAGTGCAGTCCTATGTGCAGCCCCTGGCTAGCAGATCCAATTTTTAGGTTATAATCGTTAGGTCCTAACACTGCTCGGCAATATCCAAGTTGTCTGTGCCATCAGGATTGTTGACAGTCCACAGCTCCATATGTCTCCTTTTTCAGTGTTTTCATGCAAAGTCTTGTGCTAGTTTAGTCTACTTCTATATCCTTCCTTTCAAAGCTCAGGGCTCCAAGATTATCTTGTGTGTCTCTGTTAATTGGTTCCCCTTTTCTTTGTTGAAGAAGGTCTGTCTTGTTTGTCTGCCTATTTTGTCATCTTACCGGACTGGACATTTTCACTTTTGAAGTATTAACTATTAAAGTTTTGATTATGACTTTTTCTCTTAGCTACATAGTTTATTTGAAGATGATAGTTGCCTATTAATATATAAATGTCTTCTTTATTTAAGAACCATTTTGTGATTGTGATGAATGATGGATCTTGAACCACCTTAAAAAAATAATGATTGATAAATTCTGTTTGAGGATTTATTGAAAATAGAAGATTGATTAGGAACTGCAAGATTGATAGCAAGGCATTATTTTAATAAATACGTTTCTTGAATTCTTTTGGAAGGCACACCAAGAGCAACTACTGAAAGCTTCGATGATGGCCTTAAATATCCTAAGCAAATTAAGAGGGAGAGTCCTCCCATACGAGCATTTGAAGGTGCCATTACCAAAGGAAAGCCATATGATGGTATTACCACCATCAAAGAAATGGGGCGTTCCATTCATGAGATTCCACGGCAAGATATTCTAACTCAGGAAAGCCGAAAGACTCCAGAAGTGGTCCAGGGTGCGAGGCCAATAATTGAGGGCTCTATTTCCCAGGTAACTAGATTGTGGTCCTTTATTTCAACAATTCCACTTCAGATTGTGATAATTATTTATTATTTTAAAAAGTGATTTTATTTTAAATCATTCTTATAATACTAGGTCCTCATTTTTTCTTGTGTCTTAGTGTGGAATATAAAATGTGCCTAATTATGCAACTCAATATGAGTGGATTTCTTTTTTTTTTTTTTAAACAACACATTATTATTATTATTTTTTATTTCTTTTTTTTGATAAATGAATGTAAATTTTATCTTTCTTTTTTTATATTTTAAGAGCTTATTTTGCATTCAAGATCACACGTATATTTAGTTTCATTCCCCATTGGAGTATGAGTGGGTTTCTGATTGAAACAGCCACATAGACAATATAGACTACCACAGCAAAGTGTAACCATGATGAACCAAGCATAGACCTGAGATGGAAAAGCATCCAGATGACTTGGGCTACTTCTGATATTTGTTTCTCTTCCTTTAGGGTACACCGATAAAATTTGACAGCAACTCAGGTCAATCTGCCATCAAACATAATGTCAAATCCTTAATCACAGGACCTAGCAAACTACCCCGTGGGATGCCGCAACTGGAAATTGTACCAGAGAACATAAAAGTGATAGAACGGGGAAAATATGAGGATGTGAAAGCAGGCGAGCCAGTGCGTTCCCGGCACACATCTGTGGTAAGCTCCGGCCCTTCCGTTCTTAGGTCAACACTTCATGAAGCTCCCAAAGCGCAGCTGAGCCCAGGGATTTATGATGACACCAGTGCACGTAGAACACCTGTGAGTTATCCAAACACCATCTCCAGAGGCTCACCCATGATGAATAGACCCTCTGATGGTATGTTCCTTTTCTCATATTTTCTGATTATTTTTATTGCATATTTACACCTGTAGCAAGTAGTAAATATCAAATTTCTAGTTTCAAATTATCATCATACCTAAAGGCTGTACTTTTATGCTACAGCTATGGTAGTCTACCAAATTAAGAATAGGTATAACTTTTGGTAAAATTTTTAAGGTTAAATCAAGTTGACAGTATGGTGGAATCTAGAAATGCTCTAGAATGAGTGTGCTGGTTTTCAAAGGGTTTTAAATGGTTTTCTTGAAGCCAGTTTTGACAATTGCTTCTTCAGTAGCATTATAGTGTGGTGTTTCAAAGTTTAGACTCTGAAGCTAGACTTGCTTAGGCTTGAGCTGCTTACTTAGGCTTGCACTTACTGAATGAACTTGGACAAGTTTCTTGTTTATTTATTTAGCCTTAAGTTTCTTAGTCTGTAAGATGATAATGTAATATTAGGACCTATTTAAGTGTTGTGAAGATAAAATGAGGTAAAACTTTTAAAGAGTTTAGCATAGTGGCTAGTATGTAGCAAGGACTAAATAAATGTAAACTATATTATTGTCATAATTATTGTTGTTAAGGAGCTCTGGTGTCACTGTGGTCAAGGCTGTTGACCAAAAGGTTGACAGCTTGAATCTACTGGTTGCTCTGTGGGAGGAAAATGAAGCAGTCTGTTTCCATAAAGATGTATAGCCTTGGACACCCCACCAGGGTTGCTGTGTATCACAGTTGACTTGAAGGCAGTGGGTTTTGTTTTTTTGGTATTACTATTACCATCATAACCTGACACTTGTTTGGGGTTTATGCTGTTAGCAGCTATATTAGTAAGATTAGAGGCATTGATTTAACAGGTAATCCCCAAAACAATTGAAGGACCTCATGGATGTATCCACTTACTATTTTTATTATAATACATATTAATTGAGGACTTACCATATGGAGAAATTCTGGGCCAGACATGGCATGGATTATAAAGGTGAAGAGTTTCTTTGAGGGTAGGAAAAAAATAGGACAGAGGGAAGAAGCAAACAGAACATCTAGCTATGTATAGGGGGATGAATCCAGAACCTTTGTCTCTAGTTTTTAAAGGAGGCAAATTGTCCTGCAGAGTGGAAGGGCACTATACATTTGAGCAAATTGGGACTTGTCAGGAGATATAATAAACCAGCATGAGATCCTAACAGGCACATGTGTTTGATTGTGGCAAAGTTGATACTATCATATTAATAATTAGATCGTGGTGATAGTACATAACATTATAAATGTATGTAATGCCACTGAATTATACACTATTAAATGGTCAAAAGGGTATTATTTTGTTACAGTTTAAAAATATTAATAATGAAGGTAATAGCCAATAAGTGCATGGATATGATAGAACCAGTAGGACAGTTTAACTACTCTGAGTAACACTGTTTAGAAAAGGAGGATCTGGAGAGAGAAGATTGATGTTGTGAGGTGATGAGAAAATCATTGTGGAAATACACTGGAAAACACAATGCAAAGGAGGTGTTAGTATAACTTAGTGATTGATGGGCAGCAAATCAGTTGGGTAACAGAGAGAAAATTGAGATTTGCTACATGTAAGACTAAAAAAATTTAGAATCATATAGAAACAAAATCATTTATAATGGGATTTAAAGAGGAATTTTGAACTTTGTTTTTAATCTTCATATAAGACAGTAAAATGCTGGTACTATAATAATAAAGATGACAGTTGTCCAGATCTCAGAAGCTTCTTTTACTTCTTCATATTTGCATAATTAACAAGATTGAACTTTAAATGTTCAGTGAAGAAAGAACAAAAAATTTTATGAATATAGTCTGTATCTGAGTGATTAAGAAATGGTTAAATATTTTCATACTTAGCGAGTTTGCTTAAGAATTTGTGGTATTGGCTCTTTATTCCAGTTACAATTTCTTCTGGCAAGTCTACCAATCATGAAAGAAAATCTACACTCACCCCTACTCAAAGAGAAAGTATACCAGCCAAATCTCCAGTTTCTGGGGTGGATCCTGTAGTAAGCCACAGCCCTTTTGATCCCCATCACAGGGGCAGCACAGCAGGGGAGGTCTATAGAAGCCATCTTCCCACACACTTGGACCCCACAATGCCATTTCACAGGGCTCTGGATCCTGGTAAGCACGGGACATAGGGATAATTTATAGCAAAGAAATGTATGGCTTTTTAAACATTCTATCAAAGTGTACAATATGCAGAAATGTGCACATACTGGCAGTCCTAGGGTACATGATGAGATCTTTAAGAATGTGAAGGTAAGTCACATCAGGTGCATATGGTTTGTAATAAGCTTTACCTTAGTGCCAGAAAATGCTTGAAGCCTTTTGACCTATTTAAAAGTTGCATGTGCATCCAGTAAAAGTGATTGCATGGAAGAAAGAGTGTGGGATTGGCTCAATCATTTCAAAGTGAGGACAGATTTACATGAAATTAAAAGGCAAATAAGAGTTGTCTGTAAGCTGGATATTAGTAACTCTGGGACTGCCTGTATACCAATGGAAGTACAGAATCCTTCTAGATTTTTTTGTCCAGTCTTCTACGTTTATTTATTCTACATCTAGCAAATATGCAATCAAAATGTATCGATAATTACTGGCGAAAGTTGGAAACGAAGATGCGCATCGGTAGTTGGAAAATATGGCCTTGGTGGTAGAAATGATGTCAGAGGTCATATGATAGAATTTTGCAAGACCAACAACTTACTCATTGCAAATACTTTTTTAAACAACAATAAATGGTGACCATACGTGTGGACTTCAGTAGGTGGAATATACAGGAATCATGTCTACTACATCTGTGAAAAGAGGCAAATGGAAATGCTCAATATCACCAGTCAGAACAAGGCCAGAGGCCAACTATGGATCAGATCATCAGTTGCTCATATGCAAGTTCAAGATGGATCAAAGACTTAAATATAAAACCTAAAAGTATAAAGTTCATCAAAGTAAAAATAAGGGCAAACGTAGGGGTCCTAATATATGGCATAAATAGACTTATCAAACATAACTGAAAATGCACAAAGAGCAGAAGATAAACTAGATCAGTAGGACCTTCTAAAAATTAAATTTTTACGCACATCAAAAGATTTCTCTAAAAGAGTAAAAAGAGAACCTGCAGGTTGGGAAAAAATATTCAGCAATGACATAACTTACAAGGGACTTATCTCTAAAATTTATAGAAAACTCCAATACTTCAACAACAAAAAGACAAACAATGCAATTTAAAAAGGGGTAGAAGATATGAATAGACACTTCACCAAAAAGGATATTCAGGCGGCCAACAAATAAATGTTTCTAATCATTAGCCATTCAGGAAAAAAAAAAAAACCTCACTGCTGTTGAGTCAATTCCTAGACACCCCTCCTTGGGTTTCTGAGGTGATATCTCTATGAAAGTAGATTGCCCGATCTTCCTTCCGAGGAATGGCTGGTGGGTTAGCAGTCAAATACCTTAGGTACTGTACTACCAGAGCTCCTTCATTAGCCATTGTTGTTGTTGTTATGTGCTGTTGAGTTGGACCTGACTCATAGCAACCCCTCTGCAAAAAGGGCAAGGAAGCCACATATTCTGACCTCTTAGAACCCCACAAGAGGAAGGCAGAATCACCATCAATAGCCCAAGGCCTATTACTGCAAGGCCAGACATGCTGCCTCCCTCCAGCTCTTTCAGCAACTGTTCCTCCCAAAGCACCCACCACCTCTCTCCTGGGTTCGATAATTCGCTGCAGCGGCCACACAGAACTTACAGATTATGAGGTTTATTAGGGAAGCACCAGGTTACAATTCAAGTTCAGGAAAAAACGTTTAGTCTCTCTCCCACCCCACCATCCCTCAGCCAACAGTCTCTCAGTCTCTCTCCCAGCAGTGCGTGTCCCTTGGTGTCTCTCTCAGCAATGCACGCCTCTTGCATCTCTTTCCCAGCAGCGCGTGTCTCTTTCAGTAGCACGTCTTCCTCCACCAGCAGTCAGAGAGAGTTCTGCCTCTAGGAGGCCTCCTTTTGAGCTTGGCGGAGTGGCCAACCAATCATAACAACAGAATTCTAAGCACCTGAGAGTAAGCCTCCCATAACACTGTTGTGCCACGCCCAACAGAAATAACCCAGGTGGATAACATTTACAATCAGGAACTCCTCAGCTGCTCATTCCACCACTGAGTTTACAATGACTTATGGGTAGAAAAGCCATACTGAGTAATTTACTACTCTGCACCCTCCTTGGGTTTCCAAGGCGGTATCACTATGAAGTGGATTGCCCAACCTTCCTTTCCAGGAGTGGCTAGTGGGTTTGAACCACTAGCCTTCTTGTTATCAGTGAAGTGCCTTAGGCACTACGCTACCAGAGCTCCTTCATTAGCCATTAGAGAGATGCAAAACAAAACATCAATGAAATACCATCTCACCTCAGAACTAATACCAAAGTTCGATAAGACAGAAAATAACAAATTCTGGTGAGAATGTGGAGAGGTTGGGACTCTCATACACTGCTGATGGGGACTGTAAAATGGTATGGAAAAAATATGGTGCTTCCTTAAAAAGTTGGAAATAGAAATACTATTTGATCCAGCAATCCAACTACTAGGTATATATCCTAAGCGAGTGTGAGCTGTGACTCAAATAGATATATATTTAACCCATGTTCATTGCAGCACTATTCATAATAGCAAAGAGATGGAAACAACCAAAGTGCCCATCAGTGGATGAATGGATTACCAAACTATGGTACGTACACAGAGTGGAACAGTCTACAACACTAAAGAATAATGAAGACTCTGCAAAACATTTTAAAACATAGACCAATTTAGAGGACATTATGCTGAGTAAAGTAAGTCAATCACAGAAGGACAAATAATTCTGAGTCTACAATTATAAATAGTTCAGAAAAGTTTTACACATGTAAGGAAGTTTTCTTTGTTCGTTACCAGGAATGGGCGGGGAGGGGAGGGAAAATTGCTACCTAGATAAGAGATAAGTGTTGATTTGCTTGATGGGAAAGGCAGTGTACCAAAATCAAATAACCAGCAGAATAACACTAAGTAAAAGGAAGACATGGAGAGGTGCACAGGAGGTACAGACAGTAAAGGTAAATACTTTTATATACACAGTAGTTCATTATAAGTAATAAAATACATTAACCTAGGGGTGGATCCTTAAGTAGACAGGCTAAAAGATCACGTATGGCTAGGCCAAAGGGAATATATCCATGGCCATATATAAGTTTGGCAGGTGATATTTCTGCATACCTATCTGTATGTGCTATAAGAATGTCCATATATGTAATAGAGCTAACAGGCCAAAGTTATAACTCTTACCCATAGTCATATCACCTTGAAGGAGTGAATCACTGGGCCCCCTGGGCTCTGGACCATGGTCACAGAGGATATCAAGGTCAATTGGCATAACATATGTGGTAGTTAAAGTTATGTGTCAACTTGGCTCGGCGTGGTTTTGAGTGGCTGAGTAGCTGGTGGTATTTATTCCCCATGATGAGACTGGCAATCAACTCCATGGTGAAATCTGCCATGAACAGCTGAGTAGCTGCTTTAGGAATGTGGTCTGCTTTCAGTATATAAGGATAAATTTTGGGAATGGTCTGCAGCTTTTGGCATGCTTGAATCCTGCATGTAGCTGAGTGGTCATTCAGCAGCCAGCCATGTTGTCTGCCAATCTTGGGACTCTTAATAGACTGAATCAATGGTCTGCCGTGTAGTTTGGTTACATCAGAACTGTGCCTTTTTACTTGGCAACCTTGGGTTTGTCAGTCTCAGCAGCCAACAGCTGCCTGAGTGAAGGAAGCCTCCAGCTTCAGTGGGCCAGAAGCAAGAAGCAGAGCTGAAGCCCAAGGTCAAGGGGCTTTCACCCTGCCCTTAGAGCTTGGCACTTTGAACTCAGACTTCTAGCCTCCAAAGTTGTAAGAGAATGAATCTCTGTTCAAGCCATCCCATTTGTGGTATTTTTGTTAGAGTGGCACTAGGTTACCAAAACAAGTACTACACAAAAGTATTGCTCTACATCCTACTTTGGTGAGTAGCAACTGGGTCTTAAATACTTGGAATTGGCCATCTATGATGCAACAATTGGTCTCTCCAAACAAGAATGAAGAAAATCAAAGACACATGGAAACAGTCTAAGCGACTAATGGACCCTATGGGAACTTCAGCCTACATGACCATTAGACCAGAAGAACTATATGATGATTGGCTACCACTGTCAACCACTTAGAAAGGGCTCAGTGTAGGAGATTCTGGATAGAGGGGGAGAAAAATGTGGAACAATACGCAAGATCATAAAAAAAGACCAGACTTACTGGCTGATAGAGACTAGTGAAACCCTCAAGACTATGGCCATTAGTCACCCTTTGGGCCTGGAATTGAACTCACTCCTGTGATTTCTAGCCAAATGGTAGGCCTACAAGGTGAACAATTATACCAGGTAGGTATACTCCTTAGAACAATCAACGATGAGAGATCAGAAGGGCAGCATTTGCACACAGAGATAGCTCACGGCAGAAATGCATAGAAAAGGACACAGGGAAAAGGTAATCACAGGGAGAAAATTGGAAGAGAGCTATGACATTAGGGGGATTGCAGTAAACGTCATGAAACAAAATGTATGTGAACTGTTGAATGGAAAATGAATGTTCTCTGCAAACTTTCACCTAAGTCACAATTTATTAAAAAAAAAAAAAA